GAAGAAGAAGAAGAAGAAGAAGAAGAAGAAGAAGAAGAAGAAGAAGAAGAAGAAGAAGAAGAAGAAGATTGTTCTTGCTCCTAAGGGGTAAACTCATTTCTTTTCCATAAACCTGGCCAAGAGTTGGGGAGGTCACAGGCCCTAGGAGAAAACCTACTACTGTTGCTTTTCAAAACGGATGTGGATCAAACAGACTTCTTACTACTATGTCTATAACCACTGATCAGTCCTGCTCTCAGCTTCCAATACAGAAGCATTCCGCAGTCAGTGATGATTAAGACAGAGACCCTGGACGGTGGTGGCACACACCCTTAATCCCAGCACTCAGGAGGCAGAGGCAGGCGGATCTCTGTGAGTTTGAGGCCAGCCTGGTTTACAGAGTGAGTTCCAGAACAGCCAAGGCTGTTATACAAAGAAACCCTGTCTTGGGGGTGGGGAGAGTGACCCCAAACAGCTCAAAGAGTGGAGAATAAGTGGCTCTAGAACGCTGGCCTTAAACAGGGGCGTCTGTGTGTAACTCCTCCAAAGCTAAGAAATCCTCAGGAAGAGGGGGGGAAAGAATGCTGGAGAGGAAGGGCATCAAAGGTGCCTTCTGGACATGAAGGGCCACTGCACTCTTGAACTCACCTGCACAAGAGCAACCTCAGATCAGACCTGTCACCCTCTGCCATGCGTGAATAAAGGGCTCTCATCCCCACACACACAAATGGCACATGCGCATTGCACATGCGCACTGCAGGACAATGGCAATTACTGAGTACTACGGGACAGGGCTCATTGTCCATGGTGTAGACTCTGGTGAGTTACCCACGTTTCAGTAAATCCCCACTCATGTTCATACAAGCTGTGCTGGACTAAATGGAAGTGGCCTCATAGGCTCAGAGAGTGACACTATTAAAATGTGCGGCTTTGTTGGAGTAGGTATGGCCTTGTTGGAGGAAGTGTGTCACTGGGGATGGGCTTTGAGCCAGACCCAGTGTCACCGTCTCTTCCTGCTGCCTGCAGATCAGAAACAGAACTCTTGGCTTCCTCTCCAGAACCACGTCTGGCCGCATGTTGCCATGCTTCCTGTCATGACAGTAATGGACTAAACCTCTGAACCTGTAAATCAGTCCCAATTAAATGTGTTCCTTTACAATAGCTACCATGGTCATGGTATCTCTTCACAGCAACAAAACACTGACTAACACACAAGCAAACACAATTACCTCAGGAGGTTCAAATAAGATTTAAGGTACCCAAGTAGGAGAAGCCATGTTGGAGTGAAATGTTTCAGTTAGGGAGTGGGAGGGTAGCAGGGGTTATTAAAATGCCCCAAACGTGATAGACACAGGATGAAATTGGTAAGAATAAAAAAAAAAATTTTAAAGAGTTTAAGTACAACCTTGGATACATAGCAAGTTTAAGGCCAGCCTAGGCTACATTAGACCCCTTCTCAAAAAAAAGTAAGGGTGGTCCCTTTAAGAGACAAGCCATGCCCACCACCTACCCCTGTCAACCACCAAGGCAGGCAGATCTTCCTTCCTGCATCAACAAGTACAAGTTATCAAATCTCTCTCACACTGCCTTCCATAGTCTTAAAAATACTTTTCATTGTACCAAAAAGAAAAATCTGTCACAGTCATTCTGATATAAATATGTTGATATAAATATACATGGCATATGTCTAAAACTTATGTTTTCACAAACCCAAAGAATTCTTGTGAGTTCCAAGGAGCCGAATTGAAGAATCCACTTTAAACAGGTCAGATACACCCCCTCTCAATTCCCTGATCCTAATATTTTTTTCCCTAAACTTAACTTTGTTCTCTGTTCTGCCAATACCTTAAACAGGTGTAAGAGAACACCAGACATTTCCATACCACAAACACTGGACAGGAGCAAAGAGACCAGCTACCCTTGGATGTGACCAGCATCCAGCTTTCTCAGGTTTCCCCCTCAAGATGATGCCCACAAATAAGCAGGAAGTAGTCTTGAGAATCCACCGCCCCAATCCTTTAACCTGTTGTGCCTAACCTCCTGGCTTTTTATTATTGAGAGAGAGAGAGAGAGAGAGAGAGAGAGAGAGAGAGAGAGAAGGAAATATAATGGTCTGTCCTGTCCCTTTAAGAGGCAGGCAGATCTTCCATCCTGCCTGTAGCCCATGCCCTTTCTGTCTCTCTCCCAAAGAGGTAGCTGCTGCCATGGCTCCTCTCCTTTCTTCACCCCATCCCTGCCTCTGCTTTTCTCTCTCTCTCTCTCTCTCTCTCTCTCTCTCTCTCTTTCTCTCTCTCTCTCTCTGCCCTTCCCCTGTCTCCCTTTCCCCTTTCCCCTCCACAGCCCACTAAATAAATATCCAACCTCACTCTCTCACGCACTATGTGGCTCCCTGCCTGGGATCTGCTGCCCCTTATGGCCCACAGGCCACTAGGGGAATGGAGCCATTTTATTTTAATCATTACATAAGGAAAGAATAAATCCAAAGAATTTGAAGAGTCACTTTAAAGATATAGTTGGCCTTCTGGCTAAAAAGATATGACTTTAGACATTAATCTACCTCCTTTAGGATTAAAACAGCTGATGAACATCCACAGTACTGAGTCTGGCCAGAAAGGGAGATGTTGTCAATGTGCACAACAGAACTTCTGGGGGGGAGAAGCAGCAGTGTAGCAACAGGGAGATGAGTCAGCCTGCCACGAACTGATGCAACACTGTGCTCATCCTGTGGACACAGAGGTACAGGCCACGACACTAGCACCTGACAGGCTGGCCCAAGGATGTCAGGAGTTAAAGGAGAGTAAAATCCGGTCTCAGGGAAAAAAAAAAAAGAAGTGGAGAAGGGAGTGAATCATTCAAGTACCGTTTCATCAGATGCCAGTGAACACATAAGCACTGCATCTCCCCCACACTGTAATTTGCTAGAAGGCTAGTATTAATGACAGTTAGGTAACTCAGGTTGGTGTGTACATGATGAAGAGATAAAGATTCATCTGGAATAGCTAAACATACCATTTCTAAAACCATAATCTGAGATCTGGGATTAAATACTTTCATTCCCTAGGTATTGAGTATCATTGTCTGACTTCACAGGGAAACAACACACAGCCTAAGCTTACCAAGAATATTAATTTGCAAATTCCCCCACTTCCAACCAAGATGAGACACAGGATAGGATTCAGTATCTTGCCTGAAACAACCACAAAACGCAGAGAACACATAAAACTGTGGTTTGTAAAACAATAAGAATAATGATAATGCCTTACACAGCAAAACAAATACAATGGGTGGGTGTTACGGCACCTCCAGCCACACAAGAGCTCTTCCAGAGCAGGGTTCAGGGAGGTTGAAGCCAGGCAGAGCCTAGCAAACTTACTGAGCTGAGAAGATGAATTCAGAGTCCAGAGAAACCAAGGCAGTTAGAATTGACAACACATTCAATGAGGAGACCAACCCTGGGAGACGTATAGAAAGGACATCACTTCAGATGTCCACCTGAGAATTCATCAGTATATTTCAGAAAGAAAATAGGGAAGGCCAGGGAACTCTCCCCCAGGATTTCAGGTAGCAGTGCCTAACATCCACACAGAACTGAATCTGTGCTCAAAAGTTTGTAGCCCCGGGGCACTGGTGGGGCACACAGAGGATCTGGTCTCATGAGTGGGGAAAATAAGCCATACAATGAGTAGTTTTGCCCCACCTAATAAATCTTTAAAACAATGTTCGAAAAGATCAAACTGCTTTCAAACAACTGTGTTCCAGGACTAAGCTTAGCCTGTAATAATTAAAAAATATCTAAAATGCAATAAAATAAAATTGACTGTATCTGACATCTAATAACTTTTAAATTAACAGTCATGCAAATAAAATCAAACAGGAAATGTGATTTATAATGAAGAGAAATAAGTCAACTGAAAGTAACTCAAAACTGATACAGATGTTAAAAATTAGAAAAACAAGATATTAAATATTATAACTACTTTCTATCTTCAAATAGTTATATGAAGATACTGAAGATGCAAACGTTCAAACTGAATTAACAGAAATGAAATCTATACCAAATGGGTTTCATTCCACCAGAAAGAAGTTATTAGTGGTCATGATTACAGCAATAAAAATTACCCCAAGTGAAAGAGCAAGAATAAATGACTTTTTAATGGGAAATGAAATCACTGGATGGTAAAAAGCTGTCTGAGGCCCAGGGCACAGTCTTTGCCATTGCAAAATTAATTAATTAATTGAACAAAATGAAAAGAAAAATCTGTGAGCCATGGGGAAGTCTTTAGTAAGTTAGGTACATGCATAATTAGAGTGCTCCGTAGAAAAGAGAGAGATGTGTACACACAAAATATCTAAAGAATTGATGGCCCATTTTTTTCAATTTTTATGAAAATTGTAAATTCACAGATGCAGGAGGCTCAACAAGTACTAAATTTGAGAGACATAAAAGGGAGAAAGGAGAAGAGAAAAGGAGAAAGATGCCAGAATCTGAACTGTTCAAATTAAGTGTTTAAGGGAAAAAAGCCTAAAAATTAAGCCATGGAAAACTTGTACGAACACAGAAATATAAGGTATAAAAATTTCATACTACAGAGATGTTTTTCTGGGTCAGCAAAATGGCTCAGAGGATAAAGAAGCTTGCTGCCAAGCATGAAGATTCGTAATCAATTCCCAGAACATAATAGAAGGAGAGAAACAACTCAGCAAGCTGTCCCCTGGAAGATACACAAACACACATGTATGTATGCACACATACATACAGACACACACAAACACACACAGGCACACATGAGTCTGGCGACACACAAACTTAGTAAGTTAATACATAAATAAATGTACAGAATTTATTTTTCTTTAAAAAAAAAAAAAGGAGGCTTTTACAAAGCATGAGCGTAAGGTGAGAACATGGGTGGAGGAGGAGGGTTAACAGGAGTGGGTGTGATGAGCCTGGGAGGAAGGTGTGACCAGAACACACACGTGTGTGATACACTGCTGTTCAGCTGAAGGCTCATAGCAATAAAATGACCCCCAATGACATCCTGTTAGACTCATAGACCAGTGTTCTCAGTCATCATCAGAGAAGCTTCCTCCTGCAGCAGACAGAACCCAGACCCCCAGTGGACAGTGTGCAGAGAGTGGGAGACCTGAGCACTTGGTCCTAGGTCCTAAATGGGCCGTCTCCACTAACCCTCCCCTCAGGCCTCAGGGAACCACATGGAAGAGGAGGGAGAGCGTAAGAGCCAGAGAGGAGGAGGACACAGAGAAACAAAGGCCTCTAAGCATGGCAGGACAGACAGACAGACAGACACACATACACACACACACACACACACACACACACACACGTGCAGAGCCTCACATGTCTGAGCCAGATGGAGTCCCAGTGCTGGGAGGGGAAGCAGACACAGCCTCCATCCCTATCCCAAAGGTGATTTCCAATGGACAAACCACCTAAAAGGAAAAGCTCCGTTTTCTCCACTGGAGTTTCACTGGGTATGGAAGTCACAGCTAAGGCCAGGCTCCACGCCCAGCAATAAACGGCCAATAGAAAGCAAGCTCAGTAGCATTTCTGGAGGGATCTCTGTCTCATAAGGCTCTACTTGAGCTTTTGTTTTCCCCTCACTTCACGGATCTAATGGTTTCTGATTTTGTTTTTATGGGTTTCTTGTGTTTTTACTATTTTTCCTGTTTGTTCTGTCCTGCTTATTTTATCTTATTTATTTTTATCATTTTATTACTATTTTGGATGCCTGTTTGTTTTCTAATAAGAGAGACAAATGGTGTAGATTTGGGTGGGTGGGGAAGTGGAGAGGATCTGGGAGGAGTAAGTGGAGGGAAAGACAGACTATATTCTATAAAAAATCTATTTTCAATTAAAAAGTAAAAAAATTGCTCCATCTTGATTTAACATGGGTTGGTCATATGCATCTAGAAATTCACCTGTTTTTATTTTAATTTCGCATGTGTTCTGTGCCCATATCCTTTCACTGACCCCCAACTCTTACTTCCAACCCCTCCCCACTCCCTTTCAAAGTCCTGGTGTGTGTGTATGTGTTTTTATGTGTGTGTATGAATATACACATACAACCTGTTGACTCTATTTAGTACTGACCTTATTTTTATGTAAGCTTTCACAGTTTCTAGTTCAGTGGAAAATAAAAACTTGAAAGCCAAGAGAGGTGGGGGAGAGGGAAGAAAAGAAGGGAGGAAGGAAGGAGGGAGGGAGGGAAGAAAAGAGGTAAAGAAGGGACAGATAGAGGGTGGAAGGGAGGGAGGAAAGAAAGGAAAGAAGAAAAGAAGGAAGGAAGAAAGGAAGGAAGGAAGGAAGGAAAGAAGGAAAGAAGAAAAAGATGAAAAGTAGACAATTTAGACAGGTGCTTGAAATTAATTTCGTGCTGGTTTATAGTCTCTTCCATTGAAAGTGACGCTGTCTAGGCATCCACAGTGTGGTGAAGCTACCTGTGTTCCAGGGCATCATGGCATGCAGATGAACACGCTCCACAACTCAGCAACAGATCTTTGCCATTAGTAGAACTATATAAAGAAAACTTATCAAAATATAATTTTTATTTTCTTCTAAGAATTCTCTAACAAAAATGATTATATATGGCATTATTGAAATCTTTGTATATTAAAGATCTTACAACTAGTCTTTTTCCAGAACCAAGCTTCTGCTGTTCCGTCTCCTGCTTCTTGTCTGCATCCGTCGCAAAGGCAAGCACCTGGTACCTGTTTGAAAGGGACAGCAGAGGACACATGATCTCACAGCTTAAAGTGAGGATCACCAAACTTCAGAGGCACATAATCCATAAACACTGTGAGAGGCATTTTCTTTAGTTCTAAAACCCACAAATTTTCAATTAAATTTTAGTGAGTTTTACTATGAGACATGATATGAATGATCACGTGATAAACAACATCACATGTCACAGCTGTGAACCGAGCACTACATCGAGGCTCTCGGGAGAACTGCGTGCAGCAAATAGCTGGCGAAAGCTCTAGCACCTAAATACCACACACCAGAAAGACCTTAAGTACAGAAGGACAGTCGGTGCCAGAGAACTTCTCCATGCATACTCTATAGAAGTATGATATTCACACTATCCAGCCAGACACTTACCGTCCTAGCTTCCCAGCTAGCAAAAGAAAATAGCTATTGCTAACTTATAAGAAGAATTCAAAAGCAAATTGTCACCTCACGCCTAGTACAGCATCTGGCACGTACATGCTGCTTATTCTTCATTCACGCTTAGGACCTAAGTGTTGCAGAGCGCAGCAGAGTCTGAACATACACTTTACAGACCAGCAGCACGATGGAAGAATCCCAAAGTGCTCCAAAAGCCAAGCCTTTTGAGCATGATGTTAGTGCTCAAAATGTTTTGGATAGCCAAGAGTTTCACATTAAGAATGCTCAAACTATATTAGGTTCCCAATCACTGATAAAAAGGTTGAAAGACAAAGAGAGAGCCACAGATTTATCAAGACAGAAAAATCAATTGGATACTTGATACATTCCCAATAATGGGCATTATTGTGATCTACATATATGTTACAGTTTCCATTGCAATAATAACATTTAGTTCAAGCCATTCTTTGCAACAATTTATAGAGGGCCTTAGAGATGGCTCAGTGGTTAAGAGCATTGGCTGTTCCTCCTAGAGGCCCTGGGTTCAAACCCCAGCACACACATGGCAGCTCACAACTGTCTATAATGCCAGCTCCTGGGGATTCAACACTCTCACACAGTCAGAAAAAAAAAAAAAAACAATTCACATAACATGAAAATAAATAAATCATTTTTTTAAAAAAGCTGGGTGCTGGTGGTACGCACCTTTAATTCTAGCACTTGGGAGACAGAGGCAAGTGAATCTCAGTGAATTCAAGGCCAGCCTGGTCTACAGAGCTTTCAGGATAGCCAAGGCTATGCAAAGAAATCCTGTCTCAAAAAACAAAACAATAACAACAAAAAACAAATTGCAATATACTCAATATACAAATAAAGTTATCCAATAAAGTTTAGGTTTCATTATTTCCCACTAATTAATATAATATTTTAGAATAATTATCTACTATAAATAAAAAGAACTTCAAACAGATTCCTTTCCTTACTATTAAATCTCAATTATTTGTATTGTACTTCCAGGGCTAAGATAAAATTTATAAAACAGATATATTCAGACAATCCCTATCAACAAAGACAAAGGCGTCTGAGAACGTGGGTCCGGCAGCCTGAATGAAGACAGTGTGAAGGATCCAAACACATGCAGACGAGCCAAGGCAGGGGCTAAGGTGCTGCTAGGCACAGCATTTACCCAGCACACACAGCACAGGGCTCAGTCCCAGCACTGAAGTGTACAGTTACTCAATATCACACACTGCTATGGTTTGAATGTGCCCCCCCCCCCGTCAACTCATGTATTGAAACTCAATCCCAAAATGTCACATGCTTGGAAGACGGAACCAAATGGATGGTCATTCACTCTTGTGAGTGAAAGACAGTCACTGTGCTGATTTGACTGAGGAATCTTCCCATGGCCCCTGTGTCTGATACCTGGTCCTCAGCCGGTGATGCTATCTCAGAAGCTTGTGAACCCTGTGAAAGTCGGAGTCTAGATGGATGAAGTATGGGGCAGATTTGGAGGTGTTAGAGCACAGCCCACCTCCTGCTCCCTCAGTCTGCACTTCCTCTATGAGGATGAAAATGTCATCAGCCAGCTTCTCCTGTCAGGCTTTCCTTGCCTGTTGTCAATGAACTCTACTGCTCTGGAACTGCAAATCAAAACCCTTTTCTCCTCTTGGCTGCTTTTGTCGGGATATTCTAGGACACTAATGGGCAACTAGCCAGTTACTGAGTATACAAAAAGGAACTACAACAGAAATTGACAGAGGAAAAAACTAATGCATGATCTAACTCATAAGGTGCTTCCAAACATCCTGTTCTGGTCATGCCAACAACCGTGAGTGTCTCAGGATGCCCTGGGTTCATAGACAGGATGCACAATGTCGCTGGAACATGATGGCACAGTCGAGTCATTGGGCTCCTGGGGTTGAGGACATGAAAAGTGGTATTAAACACTAAGCAAAACTCTATTATATGGACAAGGACGGAAAATGTATTATAGAGAAGGAAGCTGAACTTATGAAAGTCCATGGGAGCTTAGGGGAAGGGCATGGCAGAGCAGACTGAGTCATGTGAGAGAAGCCCTTAAAGTCAGAAGGAGAGGATGTGAGTCTTGAAAAACTAAGTATGCAGCTTCAGCAAATGTCTACACCTTAACCTTAAAATGACCTTCAAAATTCCAAAGTTTCCAAAGGTGACAAAAAAAAATCAAATCTCACATTCCAAGCTCCAGATAGGGACTATTTTCTTTTTGCCGATTTCAGGGGGAAGAAATAGTATGACGTTATGAGCAGAAATCTCAGAGTTGGTCCTACTATAACTCAATTCTCAGGCAAGTAATTTACCCAGGTAGTTTACTTCCTGCAGACTCCAGTCTACCCAAGGATGACATGGACATTAGTGAGACTACTGCAGAAATTCAAGGCTCCTTGAGCCCTTTGAAGCTTTTTATATAGCTACACAGAGTATCACTATTTCATCTGAGGACTAAGTGAGCCCTAAAGGAGTCTCATTAACATCTAGACAGTAAGCAAAGACAGACACAACCAATACCGGCTCCTGATTTCCAAATCAGAACCAGTCTCCTCCTCAAAAACAGCTGAGCAGAGTACTGGATATTTGAACATAGCTGGCAGCAATTTAGATCATGCCCAAGACCAGCATCTCTCTAATGGTTCTCCCTTAATTCCTCTCAACTGTGACCAAGGACGTGCACAACACCCAGCAATTCCAAGTGGACTTGGAAAATCTAAAACAAAGAAAGCACTTGATCTTTTTCCTACCATTCAAGTGCTTGCTGACAAAAGCTAAAGAACAAAGTCCCCTGTGAACCTGCTGAAGGAATACACAGGCCCAGGGCAGGGTGATGCTGTAAGAGAGGGCCAGAAGGATGCTCAGAGCTAAATGGTGCTGGTCACAGACAAGCAAATTGAGGTGCACTGGTGACATTTTTGACCCAGTAGCTGATCCACAAACACCAATTACACATGCAACCACATGATTTAGTGCCCTGCACAGCACATCACAGAAGCAGCCACAGGATACTGAAATATGAATTGTAATACAGG